TTCGGAAAAATTGGGCATCGGAAAGTTCCTAGACAAATTAAAAAAAATTGAACTTTTGTCAAAATCTAGGATAGAAAAAGTTCTAGACACTATGTTTAGCTTTTAAGTAAAAAAAATAATCTAATAAAGAAATTATTGTCATAAAAATACTCTACTCGAGATAGGTATACCAACTTAGATAAAATCACATTCGAAGCTTTTCTAAAATTTAAGTAGAACGTTATTATTATTTAATTTCAAGATTTGATATCCATCTATTCAATTTATAGACTCGTAAGTGCATATTTATAAAAGAACACCCTGCATATTTTATATAATTAAGTGAAATGTTAGTATTTTATTTATATCACCAAACATGGTGGTCAAGAACCCTTTAATGGCTTAGATATTAACAAATGTTCAGTCTTTTCGAATTATGGCGGTTTTTTTTTCATATTTCTGGAGAAAAAAATTGTTTTTCTTTTATAACTCCCAATTTTTCCGGTCTCTCTAGTACACTCTTCCTAGATAGTTTATTTTTGCATTATGATAGACCTGTTATACCATATATCAAATAAAAACACTTAAAAATAGTGTTTGTGAATCATTTTCCAAAATACCCATAAAGAATTTATTTTAACCCAACAAAATTTGTAGAAACATGAAAGAGTAAACAAAATGGCGAACAAATCTCAAAAAGAAAGTCCATTTCCTTCACAAACAACCAACGTATTTTCCGATCAAGGATGTATTAAATTATTAAATATTTAATGTTAACAACACGTGAATATCTCTTTGAAAGAACGTAAGTCAATATTAGACCTTAGTGACGGTTCGTACAGAAAAGGAATTTAAAGGTTTATCTCTTAAATCTGATATATCCCCAACTGTTCTTGTAATTCCATATATTTTTCTTACAATAAAATATTCTCTTCATCGGGAAGTTATTCTTGTAAAAAACTGTTATTCGGAAACATGAGCCACTTTTCTCAACTATGTAGGTTAATCGAAATTCCGTTACTTATGCTTGATACATTGTTTTATGTATTTTAGTATAAGAGAGTAGCTCCTTTGAGTAGCAGCGCATCTGCATTACAAAGTCTACCATTGTTTCATACTTTTTGTGTAGTTTTGGATCTTCATGTACTTTTCTAATATTTAAATTTTTATTATCTTTAAATTTCAATAAATTTCGTCTTATATGATTTATCTGAACTTCTAATAAACTATTTATAAACAATTTGAGAAAGAAGGATTGAAAGATCAGTAACGAAGTCGCCCAATTAAACCCAACAAACTTTCTTCCTCGGATTTTTAAATATTTAAACTTCGCTAAATGCTTTTCAAGTGGTGCGGCAAAACTTTTGGAACTCAATTAACAATTTCGGGTCTATTTAGACATTTAATGTATTTAGTGGAGTTCTGTAACCTGTATTTAAGCATTTACATTTTTTAAGGATACAACGAATATGTTTGTTTAATAAAAATAATTATATTAGGTCGTCGGTTTTTATACAGCTGTATACAAGTAGACAGTACAAATTTTTTTGTCAGTTTGTCTTATAAACTAAATGTACCTACTAAGGTCAATTTCTAAAATAAAATTCACGCCTCTTTCGATTGAATATCGAAGGAGTTGATAGGAAACATAAGTACCATTGAAATTTATATTACTAAAAAAGTGATAACCATATATGATATAAGTATTTCTTTGAACACACATGTGCCAAGTTTTTTGAAATGATTGTGCTTAAAACATGAATAAAAAAATTCTTCAAACGACAAAATAAACCTACCTAAATGACCCATATTGTAGATACATGATTAGTTACCTTCAAAAAGTCATTTATCGAAATTTGAGAGGTAGAGTTAATCCTTGTTTCCAAAAAGTGCATCCAACGTTAAAATAAATGCTTTCAGTTATTGTCCGATTGTTCTAAAAGGGTAAATTTTAATATTTACGTTCATACCTAAATGTTTATAAAAAATATATGCCCTTTTAACCTTGAAAAAGGGAAGTATGATTACAATTTTACTCATCGATATTATCGCGAAGAAACATAATTAAAAAAGTACTAGCAGCTAAAATTGCCTTGTTTTAATTGCGTTAAAGTAATATTTTAATGAAACGATCCTAAATGGACGGTACTAGCCCCCTCACCCCGAAAAAATAGCGCGAGAAGCGCCCATGGCTCGCGATGCGTGACATCGCTGTTGCCATGGAAAAGTTTGGGAGTGCCAAATCGCACCGGCCGTCCCCATTGGTCGGATTCCGGCCCCGAATATCTCTCAGGCACCCTAAATGTGCACGGACCCAAATCGTGGCCCGATAGAATAGCACACATTTAACCTTGAACGCGCGTTATATCACCCATTATGAAAACATCTTCGCAAAATTCCCAAGCCGGAACCGATGCCTGTTACATCAGATTCGGCGGCGTTGCGATGGATATTTCGAACCGCTAAATCGACAACTCATCGTCTGTCTTGTGCGTGCCACCCCGCCCCATGTCTGGTCAAGGTTACGCAGGGGTTGATCTCACAAAGGGTGAGGCCCAACCCCTATGTCTGCGGGACGCCATTTCACGGCTCTGGCAATGGACGAAAAATATCTCTCGCGGATCTTTAAATCTATGGTGGATTCCTAGTAGTACCAACTTAAATCTTAAATGAAACAAATGATCGAATAAGTTCGTGGCACACTACGATAAGGAATGATAAGAAATGTAGGTACTTTGATATCACGCCCTATCCGAGAGGCATTCTAAAGTTCTACAATCTTAAGTTGAGAAATTGCAGCCGCTAAAACAATCGAATACAGTGAAATAAATCCTACGCGCATTTATCACACAAAAAGTACAACATGAACGCGGTAAACGGAAATTACAAGGCTGTGACGTAAGCTACAGTCCATTACACAACTTGGCGAAGCGATTGCGGGCCCGTTCGGTCTTCCTCGTTGGCAACAAATGGATTAATAGGAGAGAGAAAAAGACTGACTATATTTAAAAAAAAGTAAGCCCAAATCACTCCCCTGTTCACCCATATTGAAAGTCTTGGCGTGGAAATTCAAGCCGAATCCTGATAAACACCACACAGGACAAGTGTGACGTCATCGGGGAAAAACCCTCGACACAACCAACCGCACAACCCAGACCAAGTTCTCACTTTGAGAAATTTAAAAATCACCACTCGACGGTGCAATAAAAAAATCGTGAATAATATGCGATCACCGGCAATAAAAAAATTACATTGCAACCGTTCTACGTAGCAGGCGAGTTAAACAAGATGGCCGATCGGCAATGCGGAAGTTATCGCGAAAGTAGGTCGTACGTCGAATAGATTCGAGCTGAAATGTTTAATCTCGAGCCGCGACCTATGCGGTAGGCGTAAAGGCCCAACTACGCACTGGAAATTACAAGACACTGGCTGGATAATGCCAAAGGAAGGTCTGAACGCGAACGAAGCACACTACATGACGATTTCTGCAAAATTAAGAAACGCGGGCGACTTTCTGCAGCGGCTAGGCCGCGGCAGCGGTGGGGGCAGTCCTGCGCGCTGGCATTGGCCGCCCCTCCAGCTACATTAGAATGTGACGCAGTGCGCACTTGATAGCGTTCCGCTTCCTCCTGGCCCCCTCACTCCCCGCATGTATTATTTTGGAGCGCTGGGAGAAGAGGGAACGCGCAATAGCTCGGTCCGCGTCGCACCGCGACACGTGGCAGTTCGTTGACCTCGATACACGTGGGGCACCGCTTCAGCTGCAACGTTGCGCAATGGGGTACAACGGAATGCGGACAGCAGCGGCCCATTTCGAAATGACGGACGATATTTGTCGTTTGCCCGGATTAATCGATGTGCACCTGCATGGACACTTCCTAAATTGCTTTTTTCTGAAGGGGTCTCAAGTCTAGCGTCGTTTGACAGCCACTGTACAGCATTGAAAAGCACGAAAATAACAACTCGTTTTCTTGAAACCATTAATGAACAAAAACCGAGTCAATTTCGTTTTGAAAAAGTAAAATATGTATCAAGATACAATTAACGATAATAGAACGCAATAACTCACCATAAGGTAACCTCGCATTCATAAAAATATATGTGTAATCAACATAATAATTTGCAAAGTAGCAAATCGAGCAGGAAATACGCATTGCTTCACGTTTCTATAATTTCGCACTGCCTATGAAGCATAAAATGCAGCTCCATTAATTCCGCTGAAATAAACAGAAATACCTAAAATGTTTTAAAAATACGTTTCCATATTTGAGAAAAAAGCTTATACTAAACTATGTTTAAATTAGATACTAGAAAGCGATCAGTTATTATTTACATAAATTACATTGCATATTTCTTTCGATCTTAATCTTTCTCTTCATTTGCAATGCTCAATTAAGTTTTACAAAGTTCTGTAAAATTCCTAAAAAGTATAGGTCTAAATATCAAACGCCTTAAGCTCTGTAATAATCGTTCAGTAAACAATAAAAAACTAAATATGTTTACCATTGTATTAATTCTAGGAGCCCCATTAGATTTAAAAGAATTACATAAATAGAATACATACTTATAAAACAATTAACATTTAACTACGTACCGTATGTTTGTTACCTTAAAAGTAATTATTTTGATTAAACGGTAATAAATAATAACTGACGTAAAATGCAGCAATGAACAACACACTAAAATTGTACATTTTTTAAAATACATGTGTACATACGCCTCTGTACGATGTCGTAATAAAAATTTCCGTTGGAGATTTTACAAAACCTGTTTTACAAACCGTAGCTTGACCGACATCACTCAACATACACGTACCAACGAATTTACGCAAGCGAATTTCTTAAATCAAAAAATCACTCCCACTAAAACAGATATTTCATACACAACGACCGATTTACAACTTGTTACAGAACAGAACTCAAATCGTTGTTTAGAAACCGCCGACAAAGAACCTTCACCTAAATCGGCATCACACAAAAACCGCGCAACTTTCTATTAACAAAAATGCTTAGGCAACTCACCGTTTCAGTATCCACCACGTCATCTGCAGGAGGAAATGGGCAAAATTAAAACACTAAACATAAAAGTCACCGCAAGCAACCAAAAACCAACGCTAAGCGACTCGCTCGAAGCTTTCCAACGACTAAAAAACCCAGCGAGCTTTGGATTGGAACGGAGAACGGAACAAAGGCACACTTGATGGGGAGAGTACGCTCGCTTTCAAGTATTGATCAGCTCGCTTCGGGCGACCTCGCGACTCTCCGCTGCCGCAAAAGTGGGTCACTAGAAGGATACACGTGTCGCCACTTCGGCCTTGGCTTACATGCTCCTAGATGATGATAATACAAAGGGACGCTGTTGCCGGATCTAGCATCGTTCGGGCGCGCTGGCTTATCGCGCGATTTAGATAAAAAATAGATTTATTTATTTTATTTATTAGTGGCTGATAAAATTATTACACCAAGCGTCTGTGCGATGTTATGTCGAGTGGCTTTAATTTTGATGGAAATAGTATCGATACTATAATAGTTCCCATGTTATTGTCCTGCCCAAATTTTGTTCGTGCCACTCTCTTGATTTCGACAATGCCTATGTGTTTTTAGTCACGAAAATTGAATAATTTCAAATATTTCGAATTTTCACCACCAAGAACGGCGGTGACAACATTTTTAACATTAAGGCGAAGTTTCGCAGTGTATTAGCTATGTCCTGTCCAAATTTTATTCGTGCAACTCTCTTGGTTTCGAGCCTATGTATGTTTTCAGCCACGAAATTTGTAGTGGTCTTAAATTTTGATTTGTATAGTGTAAACTGCACGAAAAATCATGGGCGTATCCAGAGGGGGCTCTTATTTATAAAATAAATAAATATGATTATACCTACTTCACGTAATGTATCAAAATCTGTAACTGCTAGTTTTCAATGTTTACCTGTTTTGGAAGACAAAGGCACACCGACACACAAAAAAGTGGTCTGCATCTTTGATTTGACCGAATAGGCTTTATGTATTTCGCTGTACTGGATCCGAATCTGAAGTCCGTTTAGCTCAGACACCCCCAAAATTTTGAGTAATTAGCAAAAAATAGAGAAAAATCGCCGAAAATTACGTTCGTGAGCGCAATAAAAATCGAAAAAAGTTGTTCTGAACTTGATCAAGTGGGTTTCTTATGTATTTTGATGAGCTGAATCTAAATCTGAAGTCTTTTAAGGTGTTTCCCCCTAGAGTTTGCAAAAATTGTACGTTAATAGCTATTTTTGCAAAATTTTTGAGTAATGAAACTCAACAGACTTTAGGTTCAAATTCGACTCGATAAAATTTATCAGAAGAACTAACACTTGATCCTATTTTTAAATTTTCTTACTCTCATTAATATGTTTTGCTATTTTCAGATATTTTTTGCGTTTTTTTTTTTCAAAATCTGTGAGGGAATACAGCTAATAGATTTCAGAATCGAAGAATTCAGCGTACTTGATCAACATCAGAAAAAACGTGCTTTTTGGCGATTTTTCGCTATTGTTTGGTGATTTTTCGTTATTATTTTGCGATTTTTGCAAAATCTGAAGGGAAAAAGACTTCAGATCTGGATTCAGCACACGTTAATAAAACGTATACTTACTTTTTCCAGTACTGTTAAATAAGCAAATAAAAAAAATATATGGAACACGAACTAGTTTTTAAAATAATATTCATTCTGTTACTTAGGTACTTTATTTACTAGGTACCTATCTTTTATTGAAAATTAATTATGTAATAACTATGTGGAAATTAATTAGTTAGGTTTCCCCAGAAATAAGAAAATAATTTCAAAGGAAAACGCAATAGGTACATGCAATTAAAAAAGAAAGAGTAGAGGTAAACACAATTTCGGAACCGATTATGTTTTCTTTTTTTTTTCGACATTCCTGGAACGTCTAATTACACATCTCGCTTTCAAGGTTATTCCACGCTCTAAAGCCCGTGAGTAACCGTGGCAACGCCGCTCGTTCGAAAGAGTTTATCGTGCGTACGGTGAATTTTAAATGTAACAATGAAAGTAAGGAAGTACTAGTTGTTCGAGGAGAGAGGCTTTCTTTTCTGGTAGGTACCACTTGACAAAACGGAACAGTCTTGTCGGAATGACGTGAATAAAATTAATCGCTGAATAAGCATAGGTACAAGCATAAACAGTTAGTCAGATGGTTTAAAATAATGTTTGCCAAATTATTTACTAGGTAGGGATACGGTAACGTATCGTTACAATCCATTGTTCTGTACTCGCTGATATAAATTAAGAAGCAATCGATTTGAAATTGACAAAATGCAATCATAACTATTCAGATATCCTTTTGCGCCGAATAAAAATTCTGCAGACGTTATCGTAATAGGCATGCACGACCGATATAATCCGCCAGGAATTTTTTTTATATCGAAAATTTTCCCAAGTATTTGCCGTCGAGAGGTAGTAATCTTATCGTACGACTCGAATTTGTTTAAATAAACTCTGATAAATTATTTGAAATATTCGATAACGGAAAGATCCCTTGAAAAATTCGTGGCGAAATATGCTCGTTTCTTATACAGGATATTTCATAATATACTTTTGCAAAAAATTAAGGGAGCAAAAAAATTTTTCGAATTTTTAGTGATTTTTCAGAATGCTGTATCTCAGTTAAAAATTATCGTATCAAGGTTTTAAAAAAAGCATTTTAAAGCGCCGAATGTCTAGTTTCCAGATTTCTTAGCTCAAAATTTTTAGGGGCGATAGTCATCGCGAAATTCTAAGAAATAAGACTAAAAAAATTTTTTTTCAATTTTTTGCGTTTTTTTTCCCGGTCCACGGGCTTGGAAAAAATTTTTACACAAAAATCATGATATGGACTTGATAGCCTGTTCATTCAGCTTTAATTTCTTTTATTTTAATTTTTCTCTACGTTAATTTGACCCGGAGATATTCGACTACGAATACAAAAGCATCCTTTTGGCTTTAACCATCGATATCTCAGCAACTAATGATCAGACAAAAAATTGACGGGCAGTTTCGAAATCTCGAATAAATTTCCTACAAGGCTATGTAGCGTTCTTGGAAGAAAAAAATTTTCTTTCATCCTCGACATTAACTTGAAAAAAGTGACTTTTTGACTTGTTTTGTTAAGTCGACCGCATCTTTGCTAATATCGATGTAGAGTCTAATGCTTGTACGAATTTTTACACCTCGATGTACCCCCAAAAGCTCCGTAAATGGGCAGATCGATCTATCGAACGGTTTTTCCGGACCGCTTATCAAAATTTCAGAAAAATTTAAAGGAGCAAAATTTACATTTCTGAGCACCCTCTAACGTTAATTTTTAACTGAGATACAGCATTTTGAAAAATCACTAATAATTCGAAAAATTTTTTTGCTCCCTTAATTTTTTGCAGAAGTGTAGTATGATCTGAATCTGCGCATGATTGAAAATCATCATAAAAATTCAATAAAAGTTGTTGAGGAGTTTTATATGACAAAACATATTTATCAAATTGCGATAAATAATTTGGATGACGTCACCGATTGCGGTTTTCCATGTGCTCTCACGGTTTTATTATAATGGCTGCTATCGGTTCGCCGATTTACCAAGTCAAGCGTTGAGAAAATTATTTAGAACAAGACCTCAAATCTAACTCTAAAATTAGGCCAGGAAAATAAGCTGGGAAATGTCCATTTCTCCACTTTTTGTTTCGGCAAGCTGAATTTATTACTATAGATGCTAAATATTATGTACAATAACATATTAGTTTCCACAGTCATAAAAATGGGGGGAAGATTGTTTACAGGGTGGTTAATTGTATAATTTTTAAGTAAATTCACGTTTTTCGCTTATAACTTTTTTCCGTTCATTTCCACGAGAAAACAGTGAAGTACTTTTTTTTCGTCTTCAAAATACAGTACCTACAAAACTAGCTCTCGAGCGTCAAATGATTAGATCAAAAGTTATAAACAGAAGAAGTTTATTTACGATTTTTTAATTAAACATTTATAACGTGCGTTATTATTACCAGAACGTTTTGGCATCGCATCCTCTCATTCCTTATCGCTGTCTAATAAATCACAGGAAATCTGGAATCGGTAACTTGATTACTTGAATAATTTACAAATTATGGCTTTATAAACAAATTAACTAATTATTAGTTTGGACGATCCCGAGCATCTTCCACAATCGTACTGATTTTTTTCAAGCTAGATTTCATAATAATACGTTGAAATCTATATAATTTTTTTTAATTTCAAATTTGCAACCTGGAAATATTTTTCATTTTTTAGCCTTAGTTGTAAAATGAAATATACGACGCACAACCGTGATATAGTTATATATTATTATATATTCGGAAAGTTTATGAAAAGAGCTTTAAGTTAATAAAAAAAATCGTCAAGATTCGCTTGAAAATAATATATTTGACAGTCTGTAACTCCGTTGTTTTTCAACGAATCTTGACGATTTTTTTTTAACTTAAAGCTCTTTTCATAAGCTTTCCCAATATGTAATAATATATAACTATATCACCTCGTGCATCGTATATTTCATTTTGTAACTAATTGTAAGGTTAAAAAATAAAAAAAAAATCCAGGTTGCAAATTTGAAATTAAAAAAAAAAGATAGATTTCAACGTATTATTATGAAATCTACCTTGAAAAAAATCAGTGCCTTTGTGGAAGATCCTCGGGATCGTCCAGACTAATAATTAGTTAATTTGTTCATAAGGCCATAACTTGCAAACTATTCAACTTACCGATTCCAGATTTCCTGTGAGTTATTAGACAGTGATAAGGAATGAGAGGATGCGATGCCAAAACGTTCTGGTAATAATAACGCACGTTATAAATGTTTAATTCAAAAGTCGTAGATAAACTTCTTCTGTTTATAACTTTTGATCTAATCAATATTTTTTGACGCTCGAGGGCTAGTTTTGTAGATCTTTTGAAGACGAAAAAAAAAAAAAAGTTATAAGTAAAAAAAACGTGAATTTACCTAAAAATTATACAATTAACCACCCTGTAAACAATCTTCCCTCCCATTTTTATGACTGTGTAAACTAATATGTTATTGTACATAATATTTAGCATCTATAGTGATAAATTCAGCTTGCCCAAAAAAAAGTCGCATCCAACTCTATATTTCCTGAACTAAATGCGCTGTGGCGGTTTCTTAGTTTAAAA